TGACTTTTAGTGGCAAAACTTCATGAGGGCCAGAGATAAAATGTATTCTTTGAACCGGACACTTGCCTGAACCTGATAGGACTCAAGGTTTATGTCCAGCTGAGTGTTAGCAAGACAATTATGCAGATAGTTTATTGGGTTTCCAATGTCAAAGCTAGATTAGCTCCTTGGCGCCTTCAAACATGTCTTTTGTTTCCTCCTGTTCTGTTTTTGAGTCAGTGAAACACTGAAGTGGTTCACAATCCAAAGAGAAAGGAAGGGTACAGTTTGCAGAATCCTCTCTGCTGACTTCTGCCCTCTAGCCACTCAGTTTGACTTTCTGGAGCTAACCAAGGCTACCACAATCTCTTTCTAGATGTTATGCATTTTGTACTTTTTTTTTGGTATTTTTCGAGACAGGGTTTCTCTGTGTAGTTTTTGGTGCCTGTCCTGGATCTCGCTCTGCAGCCCAGGCTGGCCTCGAACTCACAGAGATCTGCCTGCCTCTGCCTCCTAAGAGCTGGGATTAAAGGCATGCGCTACTACCACCAGGGCATTTTGTACTCTTTATGCATTTTTTCTTGAGGTAAGAATCTAGGAAATAAGGTTCCCTAACCCCCCCCCCCCCAGGTTGGAATCCCCACTGGATGGTCCTTACTGCTGAACTAATAATCCAGTGTAATTTCCCTGAAATAGCGGATGCCTGCCTGTGCCTCCCTTGGCTTTTCTGCACTTTGCTGGTCAGGTGACTAAAGACCTTGCCAAAGACTTCACAGAGAACAAGTGACGACACCGTGTGATTGCGCAGACGGTAGGAAGGCTGGAGATACGGAGAGTGTTACTGTTGAAACTGCTGGGGTTCCTTTGTAATTCACGTTCCATGATTTCGTGTGTGCGTGCATGTGTGTGTGTGTGTGTGTGTGTGTGTGTGTGTGTGTGTGTGTTTCTCCAAATGAAATGATAACTTCTTCAAAGACACAATCCCAACACCGAACCAAGTCTACGTTCAAAGTCCCAAATTTATGGATCTTAATTTGTGGTTTTACAGATTAGTTAGTAAATCTTGGGATGGACTTGCCTTTATTTTAAATACACCTCAAGTATGCTGGGTAGCACCTGCAGGGATACAGTACAGCATGAGATGTTGTTGACCTTTTTAGGTTTTTACACATTTTTTAAAAATAGAACAGAGTTACAATTACATGTATGAGAAAACTGTTTAATGAAGTGCTGAATTGAGTCGGTTTTAAGTAGAACATAATTGAAGACATGATTGTCTAGTTTTCTCTAGGGGTTAGGCTATCCTTTTTCATTGCCTTCCTCCTCTCCATACTCAAGATTGCACCCATGGCCTCCTGGGTGATAGTCAAGCACCAAATATTTAATGGCATCTTGGTTATTTCTCCCTCGCCAGCCTGGGTCTCCCTGACTAGGCTGGGCTGACTGGTCAGCAATCCCCAGGGATCTGCCTGTCCCCACCTTCCCAGCACCAGAATTACAGATGCATGCTGCCACACCTGGGTTTTTTAAGTGGCTTCCTAGGCTTCAACTCCAATCTTTTCAAGGCGAGCATTTTACTGTCTCCCAAGCCCTTTATCTAGACTCTTACTATTTTCATTTTTAGGCTAATTTATAGGCAGTAATCCATCCCATTGTTCTTCCTTTGTTGGGGAATACCACTCTCATCCCTCTAACACCCCTCCACCTGATCAACTGCACCTGAGTGAGACCTGAACAGGGCACTCTGGAGACGACCTGGAATTATGCACGTGTAAGACAATGAACATGAGCTGCGCCATGTCTAAGACCACTAGGCCGGGAAGTCAGCAAGTTGCTAACACTTTCAGTCAACCTCCCTGCCCCCATTTCTCCTTCTCTCCCTCCCCACCTGATAGTCGTGACCCTGATGAGAGAAAATAGCTGTAGAAGCCTGTCAGACGTCCCAGAGTTCAAATTGGGACCAGGTGTGACCATGGTCTTGCATTATATAAAACGAAACACAATCAAAACTATAACACGGATTTTTTTTTCCCCAAATACAGCATTTCTTTTCCATTTCTAAGGTAAAGGAATTTTACAGATTGATGGTTTTTAAATTCCCTCTTGGAGTAAGGGAAGGTAAGAGAGGAGGAATGTGTATGACTAACATCTGTAGACTTTAACTCAATTAAGGTTTTTAAAAGCAAAATCAGGCTTTTGCACTGAAATAAAAACATCTGCCCAGCATTATCCATTTTTCAAAAATTAATTTGAACTACATATGACTTTGACCTAGGAATAACATTATACACGAGGACATTGCTTGGCCCATTCATGATAGATTTTTGGATGACACTTAAGAACATTTGGGAGGTAAAATAATAACAAGCTCAGGTTGTTATCCTGCCTCCAAGAGCCCAGTTCAGAGAAAACTGAGCCAAGAGGGACACTGTCAACCATTTTCCTCCTACAACATAATGGAAGCCAAGTATGGTAGAGGTGAGATACCTATTCTAAATAAGTTTACTGTTGGTATAGAACATCATGCAGGATATGTGCAGATCTCTTTGCAAATTTGGACTAAAATGGTAGCAGTGGGTTAGTCATGCATGAAGATATGTTAGAGGAAGACATCCATTACTCTCTAGAATTTGATTACAGGAACAAAGTAATAAGGAAACTCTTCTTGGTTAGCTATTTAACAAAGCTACTGAGGTCATCACTAGTGTGCTGAAGCCATAAGAGGTCAGGTTTGGGCCTGAGATTCTGGGAAATTTCATACTAAACCAAAATGTAAATCAGCTAACACTCACATTCAAATCGAAACATGACAGTGCAGTAGGGACCAGACTTCTGTTCTCACTGAGACACTATTTGAGAAAAATTACTAAGTTCATAGGTAGTAAAGGGAAGCTGATGCTAAAAGTTATCAATGTTGAAAACGTAGTACCACCTTCTCTCTAGATCATCTGCCAAGGAACCATATTACTCTGAGCATGAGTTAAATCACCATGCCATCCCTTTTCATGGAGGTCTTGAGATTCAAGGTATGTATCACTCAGCCTTAAACTCTTAAAGTGTGGACTTGAACCCCTTGGCCTTTGAAGCCCTTTGGGGCTATCAGGTCTATAATTATTTGCACAGCACATACTTTTTTGTTCTTCTTACTCAAACATGGTAGAATTTTTCTCAAGACTAAATGATATGTGGTAATTTAACTATTCTGATACTTAATGAAACTTTTAAAAATTATTCTATTTTAATTTCTAATATGATAAATATCAATAAATAAAACCCCCTTTTAAAAATTCATTAGGGTTCTTAATTGTTGAAGAGTATAAAATATTTCTAAGACCTAATAGTGTTAGAAACATAGAGAGAGGGAGAAAGAAGAAGAAAATACTGTGGAGAAAGCAAAAGAGAGGGAGAAAAGAAAGAACTGGGGAGAGGAAGAGAGAACACAACAGGGTCCCCTTAGCCCACTCAAGGCATGCCCCCAAATGACATAACTTCTTTCTTGGCTCCATTTCTTAAAGACGCTGTAACCTCCTGGGAGTCATATGCTGGTGGCCAAGCCTTCATTCAATATGTGACCATTGTGGGGAGCATTTAAGTTCTAAACTATAGCACCCACAGTCAACATACTGGCCAGGGCCAAGATGCTCTTCTTAATGTGGTTTTGGAGTGCTCTAGATGAGGCCATCTTTATGAGATTTCAGAAGCATTTTATCTCCTAAGCTACATAATATCCAGATTACCTCCAAAGCTCCAAATAATGGTACATGAGGGAAGTATTTCTCCTAATTCACGAGTGCAGGCACCCCAAGTTCTTTTACTGAAGTATGCATCAACAACAAACAATAACCAAAGAAAGTTTTGCTGTGCTTGTTAAATTGTCTGGAATGATATTAGAATTCATGGATACTATTTTTGAAGTTCTTGAACTCCAAA